AGGTGCGGAGCAGCGAGCGGGGTGCGAGCAGAGCCCGCTGTCTCGCGGCACTCAGCAACAGCCTGGGAGGGGAGGGCAAGGGAGCAGACCCGTCACTCTCTGCCTGCTTGTGGGTACTCTCAGAGCTGACCCCCTAGGACCAGCCTCACTTGAGGCAAGTCGTGTACAGACACAGGAGATGGAGCGATGATGAATTTCTGGACATTTTTTGACTTCTCAGACTTTAAAGATAAAGGGCCAGATCTGATTTCTAGTGAGGAGGTCTGCTGGCTCAGCTGTGACATAGACTTCCAGGCCCGCACCCAGAAACATGAAAGACCCCCAGTCTGGGTCCCCAGGCTGCAGGGCTGACCCCCATGCATGGGCGTTGCCGCTGGGAAGGCCAGGCCTGCGCTGTGGCTCAGACACCATAGAATCCTGCCAGGCCCAGAAGCATCCAGACAAAAATGGGAAACAAAACTGGGGGCCCATGACAGAAAGTTTTACCCTGGGACTAATACTTGCATGTCACATCTCATAGCCTTTCCTATCCATGTACTGGAGGACTCACGGCAGCAACAGAGCTTCCTGTCTGCTCTTCAGGGTTTCTTTTTTTCATCCATTAGCTTTGCATCAGTCAGTTACTCTGTAAAAGTCAGAGTAGGATGAAAAAAGCAGGGAGAGTGGCAGAGGGAATGACAGCAAGGAGAAACTCAGGGCTGGCAAACTACTGTTAGCAAAGGGATTGTTACATTTCTCTGATGCATAGAGAAATTCTAATGGATAATAAAGAAAGCAAAAAAGTTCACCGCTGGTCTAGCACTGTGTCATGCGTGCTGGGAGTTACATCTCAGAAGGGCAGTTAGCTTGATCCGTGGGCATCATCTTGTCAGTGTCAATCTTGTAGGACTGGAGAACGCTCTTCAGGTGTTCCACGGTTTCTGGGTGCATCTCAGGAGCTCTTGATAAAATCCAGGCATAGTCAATGTGGAAGAGCCAGAGGATGTTGGTGCAGGAGTATACCAGTGAGTAGTTTTCATAGTCAGTGGAGACAACCCAGTAGGGGGCAGAAGGCATGACTAGGAGAAAGAAAGACACTGTGTACACCATGGGTAACTGACTCTGGACTGCTTGGCAGCACTAGAGCCATGGCTCCTGGAGCTATTCCCACGTTGGCTTCTCCTGAGCCACGTAAGTGTGGTCGGTACAGTGAGCTATAATTTATAAAAGTCTGTCAGGACTCCTTGGTCTTCCCATGGGGACTCAAGAAAGCCACAAAGCCATGACTAGGAAGGTCTTGCTGGAAAGTTAACACTACAATGTGAATAGCTTGTCTGGGCCACCAACAACCTGCCCAGCTTGTACCCATGTGAGGGTGCTTGCTGGTGGGAAGGAGCCCCAGGGCTGGGAGCTGACGCTGGTGATCTGAGGAGCAGGAGCCACCACCTCCCTCTCCACCACCCCCTGCTCCCCACAGCCAGCTGGAGCCCAGATGGTGAGAATCAGTTTGGCTCAGAGCATCTCACCAGCACCAGCCATGCAGGCCAAATTCTGTTCTCTGTCAGGCTGCTAAGCCCAGAACATCTGCTCTGATGAAGGACAGCCACTCCACCTTCAAACCATCAGGCTGGAAGCAGACTGGGGTGCAGCGGGCAGGCCTGCGTGCCCCGGGATTGTTTTCTGAGGCACTCAGGAATGCTGGGCGCTGTTCTCTGGGGCTCCCATCCAGTGAGGGTGACTGGGGTTGCACGCTCTGCGGCCGAAACGGCTGTGGGCAGTGCCTGAGCAGCACATAATGAAGTCTGGCTGTGCTCATGAACAGTAATTGTCCTTTGCAAATACCCCTGCTCCACCCATTTCTCCAAATAACTGGTCTGTGTGAGTGCTGTGACACAGCCAGGAAAAGCCCGGGAGCAGAAAGCAAAGGGAGCCAAGAGGGGACTGCTGCTCACTTCCCCAGTGCTGCTGGGGGAGGGAGGTGCTCTGCCACACGGGTGAAATGCAGGGCGCCTTGGCAGGCCCCTGGCGTGCCTTACATTGACAAGGGGAGAGAAAGCAAACCCCCACATTATTAATGGTTGTTAAAAGGTGCTTAAAAGCAGAAGCAGAGTGGACTAGTAACTATACCACAGTGTTCAGAAAACCAAGCCTACCCCTGGGCCTTGCAGTGGCTGTGGGGCTGCCTCCCCCACCTCCCCCTTCCTGTCCTCATCTCTAAAACAACCTGGAGGGACCCAAGCACTGCTGATCTTTCTTGCTTGGTCATCAGTTGGTGAAGAGTGCTCCACCACTGCAGGGGCTGTTGCTGTAAATGGTGTATAAATATCACCAAACCACAGCCTGCTGGTCACGACATCTGTCCTGACCCCTTGCCATTGTCCCACCAGGCTGCGCTGAAGCCACCGGGGCAGCTTGGGCTCTTGTGGCTGGCTTTGTAGCCCGAGGGCAGGGCGGCGGTGCCTGCCTTGTGCAGGCGCTGCCCTCCTGCACTGCCGGTCAGCGGGCACCAGGGAGCCTCCCAGCCACACACACACTTACACCAGTTGAAGCGGACACCCAGCTTGGCCGGCTCCTTCACATCCATGTGCATGATTTCTCCTTCCACTTCATTGACCTTGCCATTGGAACTAAGGGGAGTATGACAAGGTGAGAAATGAAATCAGGTGAGCTTGAAATCACTTTTTTGTTGTTGTTGTTTCCACTAAATCATTGCTCCGGATGCATCCAGCTGCCAGGAGGTGGCCAAAACACATACCAGCTAACCACAGAATCTCTGGAGGGACACCTCGCCCTGGGGACAGTTTCAGCAGCACCCAGGGCACACCAGGTCCTGGGCCAGGTGCAGGGGGGCAATTGCTCTCCCAGGTCGAACCAGGGACAGTGAGAGAGAATAGGGAGAGCAAGACCCCTCTGCACAGGATGGGAGGATCCCAGCACTGAGCTCAGATGTGGCAGGGAGCAGCTCAGCTCCTGGTTGTGGGATGCACGTGTCCAGGTTGGCTTAGTCACCTGCGTTTCTTTCAGTTCATGTCACATTCCTGTGCACACAGATTACCTGTCCCTGATTGGGAAGCTGTGGTTTGTTTCACTGCTGGTTCAGAGCACTGTCCTGCTGGCAGCGAGCCCTACAACTCCAGCTGCCCAACTCGCACTGCCTGTCCTGTAATTGCATTTTTCCCTGGATGCCTCAAGACCTGCATGCTGCCTGTGGGGCAGGAAAGTTTTACACTTCTCTGTGAAACAGGAACACCCAAGGATGC